CCAGTAGGGACGGTATGATCAGTAGGGATGGTAGGACCAGTATAGGGATGGTAGGACCAGTAGGGACGGTATGATCAGTAGGGATGGTAGGACCAGTATAGGGATGGTAGGACCAGTATAGGGACGGTAGGACCAGTAGGGACGGTATGATCAGTAGGGATGGTAGGACCAGTATAGGGATGGTAGGACCAGTATAGGGACGGTAGGACCAGTAGGGACAGTATGATCAGTAGGGATTACGATCAGTAGGGATGGTACGATCACTAAGGACGGTATGATCAGTAGGGTTGGTAGGACCAGTATAGGGACGGTAGGACCAGTAGGGACGGTGTGATCAGTAGGGTTGGTAGGACCAGTATAGGGACGGTAGGACCAGTAGGGACGGTGTGATCAGTAGGGTTGGTAGGACCAGTATAGGGACGGTAGGACCAGTAGGGACGGTGTGATCAGTAGGGTTGGTAGGACCCATAGGGACTGTACGATCAGTAGGGACTGTATGACCAGTAGGGACGGTAGGACCAGAAGGGACGGTAGGACCAGTAGGTATGGTACGACCAGTAGGGATGGTATGATCAGTAGGGACGGTACGACCAGTAGGGACGGTGTGATTAGTAGGGTTGGTAGGACCAGTATAGGGACGGTAGGACCAGTAGGGACGGTAGGACCAGAAGGGACGGTAGGACCAGTAGGGGCGGTAGGACCAGTAGGGACAGTACGACCAGTAGGGACGGTACGACCAGTAGGGATGGTAGGACCAGTAGGGACGGTAGGACCAGTAGGGATGGTCCAATTAGTTTATGTAGGACCAGTGTTTGATCTTACTGGCACATWATACTTGTTTTTTTTTCTTATGACCTCTCTGAATGATAGACTTGTGGTGAGCTAGTGTCTTGGTGAAGTCTTGAAGAAGTTGGGTAAGCAGACCATCAGACTGCTCCAGGTAAACACACAACCCTACTATTGCTGCCTTTTTAGTGGTTTCAAGATGTAGCAGCCCACATTCTCCCTGGTGTGGCGAGATGTACAGGCGTTCAACATCAGCCCTTTGGTGTAACAGGCCATGTATTGTCAGCAATTTCCTGGTCTTCTAGTCCATATTCTTGAGTTCCTGTTTTGCCCATGATGATATACCAAAGCTATAGGCAACCACTGGCACTGCTAAACAGTTGATTACAGAGATCTTGTTCTTAGAGTTCAGCTCTGATTTGAGAAATATTCTGATACGTCAATAGTATTCCTTGCTGGTTTTGGTTTTCATGGACTCACCCTGAATGCCATCTCTCTCATCCACGCCCAGGTACTTGTAGATGCCTCCGTGTTCCAGGCTTTTCATCATTTCTTTGTCACTGAAAGTGATATCTGGGCCTGGAATTAGTTTGCCTCTGTGGAAGGTCATTTCAGCACACCTGTCCAAGCCAAATTCCATTCGTGTGTCATTGCTGAACCTTTTAAKTACATTAAGCTCAGCATTCAGTTCTTCGTCTCATCCGTGTACAGCAGATGATTGACTTGCTGTCCTTTCTTAACCTCATATCCTTGTCCTTTTCCTGAGTGGAATGAGTGCAATACTAAACAATGATGAAGACAGCAATCGCCTTGAAAATTTTAAAAGATTATAATTAGTAAGTAAACTTTATTTCTAAAAGATCTAAAAGATTATAAGTGTGGCTAAAAATGACATTTTTTACAGGACTGTGTTTGAGTCTGTTAATGAGCCATGACTACTACAGGTTTAAATAATGACAATCTTTTTGTTCTCACATGAAGATTTTAAACCTTTAAGATATATATATTTAAAATCATCTAAGTGTTTTGTTGGGTCAGAAGGATCCATCAGGCCTGAATYTTAAAACTGGGCCTGCTGGGTGTCATATAGTCCTGATGGACACARGGGTTTTGGACAAAAGACAAAGAAACATCAGGTCTGAAACATCCTGCAGACAAAAACCTGAAAATATCCATGAAAAAAGAAACAGGACCTGATGTGTTGTTTTCAGCTGGTGAGTAAAACTGGAGAATAATGAATGAGTGAAGGCATCACACACACACACACACACACACACACACACACACACACACGCGTGTGTGTGTG